TTAAAAATTAATATTTATGTAAGAATAAATATATAGAAAGCTTTATTTTCATTCTTTTACTTTTTATTGCATATTATTTATTTAATAATCATTAAAAAGTGGCACATTGGCAACTAATAATTATGATATTTGCATAAAATTATATATTGTAATTGAATTACATTTGTTTATTTCGAAGAACAAATTTAATAAAATATGTTTTATTCTGTACAAAAAAAAATAATAAAATATTCTGAGCATCAAATACGAGCTTATTGTAACAAGACACAAGTGTGTCGATTTGCTGCAAAAAAATCTACTCAGCGGGCGAGCATAATGTCAGAGTTTACAGTTCCGGCAAGCACCCCTGCGCGGTTAAATTGTGCCACCCCTTTCTCTCTATGCGGGACATTACGCAGCCTCCCCCAGTGTGGCCGGTTTAATTGTGATATCGGCTTTTTTTCGCTTGGTTTTTTTCTTATCTTTTTTTCCAACTCATCACCGCGTCCCGCTTGCCTGCTCCTCGCGCGCGCGGTTTTTTGTTCGTTATTTTCCCGCCACCCGGTAATTATGTGGGCGCGGCGGACCAAACAAGGGAAGAAGCGGACGTAGCGTCGAAAAAAAGTCGCTTTGCATATTTAAATCCCGTTCGTAGAGGCAGCGGGGAGAGGCAAACGACGATGCGTAAAGAGCGAGCGAGATGGGAAGGTAGGGCGAAAAAAAGGATGCGTTCTGAACCAAGTTACCCCTGCGACGACGGAACGAGATGGAGAATAGCGAGGGCGCGTGCGCCACGACAATGGGCCGTGTTTGCACACCCGAAAATTGGCCGACGCAGAAAAAGCGACTATCTCGGCATGAGACAAAAACTACTCGGGAAAAGAAAAAAAAAACAGTCAAAGGGAATACGACTAATCGGAGGACATGCGCTAACTACCCTCAACCTCGTCACGCTGGCGCTTACATCAAAAGATAGTCCGCTTTTAAATGAGACAGAGTTATGAGACGATACACTGCAACAATGAGAAAACAACTTTACAGAAATAAAGTTAATTTTTTTTTAATTTTTGAATACAAACGAAGTCTTGTAAAACTCTTTAAATATTTGGATTTATTATAATTGCAGCTATATGAAATTTGATCAAAACTTTATATTAAATACATTTTTTGCAACATTAATTTAAATTATGGAAGATCTATGTATAATCACGTTATTTAATAATACATATAGGACCGATTATTGGTAATAGAAAATAATAAAAAATAATTAGTAGAATTCATAAAGTTGCTGTACATAAGAGTAGTCTTTGCAATTCATCTTGCACAGAAATTTCAAGGATCTTTATAATTAATAAATTACCGCTAAATATCTTAAACACATACTATATTAGAGCAGTTTTTTCTGATTTACTTATAAAAAAATTATATTTATTATCTGCTTAGAGAGAATTTCAATCGAGCGAAACCGATTAGTAATCGTGGTAGTATTTTTTTCAGGTGATATCAACCACAATGCATCACACGCACATCGACATGTTACAAGATGAACGTAGGCTGGCATCGATCGCGGGGATTAGCCAGATCCAATTTTCCGCGGACGATAAATTAGAATTTATGAAATGAGCGTGAAAGGCGGCGCGCGAGTCCTTCGAGGGTGAGCTCTCTCGCGCGAGGGAAGTCCAGTTTCTCCCTACCGTTCTCCATCTACAAGCACTTTCCTCACCCCCGCGAACCTCTCGCATCCCCCCCCCCATCCCCTTTTGGCCGGAACTAATAGTTTTTCCTCACTGTTTTTTCACATGATGCCCCGCGGTGCCCTACAGAATCGCATCGTTCCGGTCGTCAGCAATTTTCGTGCTGACTCTCTCATAAAACTTATCATTATATCTGTTAGATGAGAGATAATTTAATCCTTGTAACATAAGATATTTTTTTATATACATATGTGTAGA